AATGTGGATTATGTGAAGGATGATAGCTTCAAAGCATTACATGTAGATGCCTTTTTTAATATTTATGTTTTTAGATGTACCGTCCATTTGGTCTTCATGTTGTTCTTATTGGATTAGAGCTTTGGACAGAAAGGGATCTCATTACAATTACACACCGTTTGGGTGACAGTCTTGGATTTTATTCAGCTTATGCTGGAAAGTTCCTTATGGGCCGTGTACATTTCGACCACACAGAATTAATTTTGTAAGGTTCTTTTATTTTAATCTTTTAAATATATGGTAATACTGTTCTTTATATTTATTACTGTCAATATCAAATTCAGACCCTAAAGATATTTTGCATGATTTGGTTTGGAAACTACACAAAGTACCCCGCCCAAAATGCTTCCATTATTCTTCTGCATAGCCCAACTGGCCATTGCAGCATTAGCTTTTCCTTTGGGTTCTGTAGCCTAAGAGGCTTAAGCAGCTTGATAGTCTCCACCTACCTGGGAAAATCCTCAGTTCATTCTTAAAGACTAACAGATTTATTTGGGCATAAGCTTTTGTGGGTAAAACCCCCACTTCTTCAGATGCATGGATTTTCACTCCATGCATCTGAAGAAGTGGGGGATTTTTTTTACCCATGAAAGCTTATGCCCAAATAAATCCATTAGTCTACAGACTCGTCATAGTCTGTAGCCACAAAAACAAACACGGCTACCCCTCTGGTACTCAGTTCATTCTATTTCCTATGCAACAGCACACATGGCTTCCAGACCTCCTGACCCCCACTGGACAAAGCAAATGAGAAACCCAGTTCAAATTCTAAATGTTTGGCCAATTGTACAGTTTCTTATTCAGTTTGTTTCTTGTAATTGATTTTGGGGGCAGATTTGCTGAGGCTTCAGCTCTATGGCACTCTGCTTTATTCACTATTCAGGAACCAGGGCCCCAGTGTGCTAGGAACTGTTCAAACATTCATAGATTATAAATCCAGAAGTGACCATTGATCGTCTTGTCTAGCCTGCACAACACAGCTCAAACGACGTGCCTGAATTAATTCCTGTTTGAACAAGAGCATATCTTTTAGAAAAACACCCAATCTTTGGTAAAGTGTTCCAATGGGTTAACTACCCTCACTGTAAAAATATGTTCCTTATTTCTAGTCTATGTTTCGCTAGCCTCAACTTCCAACCATTGGATCTTGTTATAGCTTTGTCTGCTAGACTGAAGAGCCCTCTATTATCAGATTCCAGTTCCTCATGTAGTGTGACAAAGTTCCTCCTCTATCTTGGTGGGTCCTGTGCTTATTGGCGGATTTTCTTGCCTCAGAGATTCACCGTGTGGGTTGGGGAACAGCCCAGAGACCTTCCTCTCTGGAAGAACCCACAGTCCAGGTCAATTGGGAGGTTTGGGGGGAATCCGGGCCCACCCTCTACTCCGGGTTCCAGCCCAGGGCCCTGTGGACTGCAGCTGTCTATAGTGCGTCCTGTAACAGCTGCATGACAGCTACAACTCCCTGGGCTACTTCCCCATGGCCTCCTCCAAACACCTTCCTTATTTTTACTACAGGACCTTCCTCCTGGTGTCTGAGAACACTTGTGTTCCTCAGTCCTCCAGCAGCACACCCTCTCACTCTCAGTTCCTTGTGCCTCTTGCTCCCAGCTCCTCACACTCGCACCACAAACTGAAGTGAGCTCCTTTTTAAAACCCAGGTGCCCTGATTAGCCTGCCTTAATTGATTCTAGAAGCTTCTTCTTAATTGGCTCCAGGTGTCCTAATTAGCCTGCCTGCCTGCCTTAACTGGTTCTAGCAGGTTCCTCATTACTCTAGTACAGCCCCTGCTCTGGTCACTCAGGGAACAGAAAACTACTCATCCAGTGACCAGTATATTTGCCCTCTACCAGTCTCCTGTACCCCACTGGTCTGGGTCTGTCACAGTAGGTATGGACAGGCCTTGATCAAGGCACCCTTTAACCTTCTCTTTGATAACCTAGACAGATTAAGCTCCTTGAGTATTTCACTATAAGGCATGTTTCCATTCCTTTAATTATTCTCAAGGTCCTTGTCTTAATCCTCTCCAGTTTTCAACAACCTTCTTGAATTGTGGACACCAGACCTGGACAAAATATTCCAGTAGCTGTTGGCCCAGTACGAAATACAGGGCTGATATAATCTCTCTCTTCTACTCAATATCCCCCTGTTTATACAGACCCTGCCTCAGCTAACTGCCCCCAAGAAGCCCTTATGGGTGCTAGGGCTTTGCCCCAGATGACGGTAAATCAGCCTTTTTCTCTTTCCCTTATGTTTCTGTCTAGTACAGGATATATATGAACTCTGATCTGGAGGAATATGAAGAAAAACTCAGGAAAGATTCCTTGATCATAAGGAAAGAATTTAATATCATTCATATACATCTGGGGCCCTCTGCAGAGTCAAAGACAAAACAAGAAAACAAAGAGGGAGAGATGACTAGGTATATTTCCTTTGAACTTCAAGGAAGGGAGATGTGTGTCCCACTGTACTCCTTCCTGGAAGAAGTGAATGTGAAAACAGAAGTGCTGTAATAAATATAAATGGTTCAATGAGAAGGCTCAGGATTTGTATGTTGTGTTCAAAACTGACACTTCCCAAGGTGAATGTAGCCATTTGCTTTTCTGGTAAAGGATTCATTAATTTCACCTGAAGTGTACTTCCTCTTTCTTATATATATGACATCCATGCTCCATAAGTTTTCAGACAGCAGTTGACATGTCAGATCAGGGTCGGCCCACAACATTTTGGCACCTAAGGCGGGGAGCTCAAATGATGCCCCCATGCCCGCTCGCTTGGGCCAAAACTTTGAAAGGTCTCAATTCTGCCTTCTTCCTGTTCTACTCCTCTCATGGTACTGCTCTACTACCTACCCCAATAAAGGAGAACTAACAACTTAAAATGCCTTGTTCAAAATTTTTAAGTAACACTTAACTTTCAAATGCCTGAACAGCAAATGTAACTTTTCTTGTCTGCATAGTAAACACTGGCATTTTTATCTGTTTGAATAATCAAAGTGGTGCTTTCCGTGCCTTCTTGGTTGCAAAGATTTGAACTGCTTCCTGAAGGGGCACAGTCTGGGCAGCTCATGCTCTATTGAGATGGTTGCAAGGCCAACCAGCTTCTCCTGTGTCATTGTGGAGCGTAGATGTGTTTTTATTAACTTCAGCTTGGAGAAGTTGCGTTCTCCACTGGCAGCTGTTACAGGAAGTGTTAGAACTATGCACAGAGCAACAAAAGCAGTTGGAAAGAGGGTGGACATCTTATTCATGCATATATATTTCAGAACAGCCTTTGGAGTTGATCCTGATGAAATGTATCTTGAAAGGGCTTTCAGTTCATCACCTAAATCACTCACATCAATACCACGCATGTCATCATGTGTCAAAAATGTCTCTAGTGCCCTGCATTGCTGGTGTAGGTCTTCTTCAGGTATAGTGAGGAGTTTTGGAATATCATACAACATCCCAAATATACTGTTGTGTTCCTTGAGCTGCATGAAACATTCTTCAATTGACTGTATTGCACAATCTAGCAGCTGGCTAAAGAATTCAACCTTGAATTGTTGTTTGGGATCTCTTATGGGATCATCCCATGCCTCGTAATGAAAATGTCTTCTTCGGTGACTCTTATATTCTTGAATGGGTGGGAAAATAGCTTCAGTGTGAAGTTCCTCAGCCAACTTCTGTGCACTCTTCAGAAAGTTTTGAAATCCCTCATCTGACTGGTAAAACAGTAGGTATGACTTTGCTTTGTCCAGTTGTTCCATTGCTCCAGATATATCAAGGTGAACACCTTGGAGTCTCTTGCTTACAACATTTATTTCAAACAGTATGTCATGCCACACAGAAATTTGAAGTTGTGTGTTTTTGGTGATTCCATTTCCCTCTGCCACCATTATTGTAACCCTGACCTGTCCTGTCAGCTATTGCAACTCCCGTATCTTCCAGCTTTTTAAGAAGCACATTTGTCATACTAGCTCCTGTAGTATCATCAGTGTCAATAAATTCTAAGAAATGCTCTCTGACAGTCACCATTGCAGGGACATTTTCACTAGGTTCTGTTGTTACAAAACACACCATTAAAATCATTTGTTCCGAATGGTTGATGTAAGATGTGCAATCCAGAATAACAGAGTAATATCTTGCTGACTTCAGATCTGCCACAATCTACTGTTTGACTTTTGTTGCCAGTAACTGTCTGATCTCATTTTGAATTGTTTTTCCAAGGTAGTGATGTGTGTACATTTCTTGGGTGGTGACTCTTCTTAGATGCTCCTGGAGTACAGCATCAAACTCAGCCATCAGATCCACAATTTTAAGAAAGTTAACATTGTTTGGCACATACAGCTGATCTGAAGTACCACACAGTGCTAGGTTTTGAGTAGCAAGCATTCTCACAATGACAATGAGCCTTTTCAAAACATTTTGCCAGTAAAGAGATTCTGATGCAATCTTCTCTTGATGCTGATCATCTATGGTGGCCTTTAACCTTAGTCTCATCTCAAGCTCTTTCTACCTATGGAATGCTTTCTGGTGATTTGCTGCCTTCTCATGACATGCCAGATTTCTAGCCAGATTTTTCCAGTCCTTTGTTCCTGTTGAACCCAATGTGGCTGGAACATTAGACTGGAAGAGTTTGCAACAAAAACAGTATGCAGCATTCTGGGTTTTTGAGTACATAAGCCATGGCCTCTCTATTTTGTCACCATTGGGGATTTCACGCCAGTAATGTGTTGGATGGAAACTTCTATTTTCATTGTCTTTGGGGAACATGAAGTTTTTCACTTGCTGTGGCCCATGCAGTACAAGGAAATCCCTCAGGCTACTGCTCAAGTGGGTTCACAGTCCTGGATCATCTAAACTTGAACTAAGCTCAGCAGCAGCTGTTTCTTGCACCTCATCCACACTCTTCTCTGATCTACACTTTTCTTCAGGAATGTGCATGGTTACGTCCATTTGAGATGGAGATATGGATGCTGCAGTAGCTGCCAGGTCACCTGCACTCTGACTAACTGGAAGATCAGGCATCTTCTCACCACTCACATTCTCACTGGGGGCAGAAGGCTCACCGTGAACATTTTTTTTAAATATATGGAGCTATACCTATCTCATAGAGCTGGAAGGGACCTCATACAGTCATGGAGTCCAGCCCCCTGCCTTCACTAGCAGGACCAATTACTGATTTTTGTCCCAGATCCCTAAGTGGCCCCCTCAAGGATTGAACTCA